ATGATAGTTTAAATGAGTGAAATGATGAAATAATTGATTATATCCTCATTCATTTTATCTTTTTATTTGTTAATGTTTCATTCAATTCAAACATTATAAAACATTACAATAAATTATCCAAATTAATATTCATCATTTAAACAGAATCTCAAGAATTATACAATGAAATAAACAAGAAATAATTGATAATTTATTCAACATAATGAAAAAAAAGAAATCAAATTGAAATTCATTATTTTAATACATTATTTATTATGAATAATCTCCATCATTTCATTTAATTAATTAAATAATCTATTAAACAAGAATAAATAATTTAAAAGTATTTAAGAAAAGAAGAGTGAATTAATAAATGTGGTTATTGAATTGAAAGTGTTTGAATTGGATGAATTTAATAATGAATTAATAAAATGAAAAGAATAGAAGAAGAAAGAGAAGGATAAATAACATCTCATTAATATGAAATAAAATTTTCAAAATGTTTTTCAATAAAAAAAAACTTAAAATGATAAGAAAGAAATGAGTGTTGAATTACCACTTACAGGATGGATTGATATTCGAATTAATTTATCAAATAAAATCAAGAAATATTATTACGTTTTAGAAGGTAATAAATTAATATTATACAAAGATGAAGATAAAAAGAAAGAAGTTTTTTCAATAAACTTAAAAAATGGGAAATTATGTTATCTGAGTGCAGAACAAGAAGTTATTGATCCAGTGAAAATAGAAATCACATTTGATTTATTAGAAAATGAATATTATCAATTTGAATGTAATAATAAACAAACACTAGCATTATGGATTAAAACATTATCTTCTTATTGTTGTGTTGCTGGAATTACTCATTATCCATTACACACTATTACATTTAAAAGTAATTATTGCATTCCATTAATACTTGCTAAATGTTTTAAAATCATTGATGAATATCAATATCAACCTTCTTCTCCTTTACTTCAACCATTAAGTTTTGACCTTAACGAATTAAATGAACTTTGTGATATTAATTCAATCAAAACAATTGAACAAGCACATTTAATTATTCACCATTATATCACATCATTAAATCCACCATTAATTCCAAATTATCTTAATGATGGTATTTTAGATGCAATGAAAAAAGAAAGTACATTAAATCAAGTAGAGGTATTACAGAAAACATTTGAAGGGTTAAGGTCTCCATGTAGAATAGTAGTAGTATTATTGTTTCATTACCTTAACAAAATGTATGAATTAAATTATGATATATTAGAGGAATTATTAACACTTTATAGTAGTGTGTATAATCCACCAGTCGAGTTAAAATCAATGAAAGACACAATACTCACTATGCTCATAGAAAATTTTGAATATATTTTCCCAAATATTCAAAAAGAAATTGACATAATAGAACAAAATTTTAATAAAGTAGAACCATTTGATTTAATAAAACGTTCAGCATTTAAAGAATATGTGAAGAAGAAAATGGCAGAAATTAATCAAGAAATAAAAGGAGATAATAAAAATGAAATGAAAAGTGAAGAAGAAAAAGAAGAAAAAAAAGAAGATGAAATTAAAACAATGTTTAGAAGAAAACAAAAAAAAGTTCAAGTAGATGAAAAGGATTTAGATTTTAAACTTCAACAATATTATTTAATTGAAACAGAAGAAACAATTGAAACAAGAATTGAAGAACTTAAGAAACAAATAAATGAATTAAAAAATACAGTATTAGAACAAGGAAAAACAATTAGTATATTACAAAATGAATATATTAAACAACATCCTAAATGAAATATTTAATATAATAAATTTATTTTAATTAATAAAAGTAGAAGAAGATATATGAATAAAATCTAATTCAATTCATTTGATTTATAAGTTTTAATAAAAAGAATAATAAAGAAATAAAAAGAAAGAAATAGAAAAAACTATAAAATAATAAGAAGTTTTTAATTTTTTAAGGTTTAAAAGAAAATAAAGAACTAAAATGAAAATAAATTCATCATTTTAATTCTTTTTATTAATGGAACAACCAACGAAAAAAGCAGTTATTCCATTTTGGATTTTATGGAGTGGATTAATTGTATTAAATTTATTTATATTAATTGTCACAATTACTTCAGCATGTTTATTAGGAAATGAAATTGATAATGTTTTTGTAGAAAAAGAAGGT